TGACGTCGTCATGGCCAACCTGCTGGATGTTTTTATTGGTGTACAGAAAACATGCAGCGTTGAGAAGGTACCCACTCAATTTGACCGACCCAGGCCAAGGCCCTAAAACAGTGGTCGGCAGGTCATTCGGGGTCGTGCCCCCTTTTTGGGCGCCAGGCAGGGCCATTACCCCCACCTACCAGACCCCATTGCTGACACAACCAAGTTTACTGAAATTCCATACCGTCCTGGAACTCTTTGGGTATTTGTGCATTTCCAATGCATCAAATTTAAAACATGACACTTCCTCCACAAAACATTTAATGCCTATATCCCAGTAGCGGCGGAACACCTTCAATTAAGGGGGAGGGGGGTGCACTGCCGACTTTTGGTCCCATTCTTTCCATGCAACGCCCATAGGGCTAATGTTAAAATGCAAAAATCAAAGGTTGCACGGTGCCCCGGTGCCCTCCCCGTTCCGCCGCCTATGCTATATCCCATTTAATCCTTGTACGTATAGGGGCGGCGGGTGGTTTTTCGATAACCGCCTGCCGGAATTTTTGCCTCAAGACCGCTTCACATACGCGATGGGCTCGTAAGCGGATAGGGCTTTACCGTTTACGCTCGGCGCTCCATATGTGAAACGATCTTTAGGCAAAAATTCCGGCAGGCGGCTATTTTTCTGTTGGTAAAACTGGCCTCTGGACCCATAATGACCGTTGGCTTATGAGCTTTTTCTGGAGATCATCTTGAACCATAAAATCTCACTTCAAGAAGTTATAGCGGGTCCCGATTTTCTCGACACTTATCATTGCCCTCTTGAATGAGACGGAATGACCAAGGACCTTAAAAATGGGCAGCAGAGGCTTCCTATGGTCACGGGTAGCACGCTCGTCTTTTTTATGCACAGCTCCACATCAGAGTCCGAGAGGCCGCGGGGGTCCGATCGACTCCTCCCCCTTACGTTAGCGGCTGTTGAAACGCCAACAGACGGGCGACGGTTAAAAGTTGCAGCTGCTTTTGAATGACTGTACGGAGGGGTGAGATGGTGAGGCGAGCAGGTAAGTGAAAATTGGTATCTAATCAATGTGTGCTGTGCCTTTGGCCTGGGCTAATCTTTGAACCCTGGGATGCAACAGTCACGATGGCTCCATCACTGGAGCTACTAACTCTAAAAAGATAGGCTTTCTCAGAATTCCTCATTACCCCCACCGAAAGGGCTCCATTACCCCCAAAGGGGGCATGCCCCACCATTTGCCGACCCCTGCCCTAAAACAACCCAGGCCACCGTGTCATTTTTCCATTGACGACGTATCAATCGCACCTCTAAGAGCTATAAGTGGCGCGCCGATTGCTCTGCCCGTAAGGGATGGCGTCCGTTCGTCGCGTCCCAGCCGCGTCGGCGGCGTGTTTTCGGCGCTGCCTCAGCGCCGTTTGTCACGTTCAATTACGGGTCGGCTAACTGGTCGCCGATTTCACTGGGTACGGTCTGCGCCCGGCGGCGGTCCGCAGAGCGCGGCGGCAGGGCGGAGGCGGCCGGCTAAACCCCTGCGGCGGCAGACTCGGCGAAAACCCCCAGCGGACTCGCAGCAGCAGCGCAAAGAAGGCGGCCGCGACCGGTCGCGCCGCCCCCGGGGAGCGCCGGACGGCCGCCGCCAAGTGGTGCGACGTGTTGCTGTTTTTGGAGAGCGGTGACAGCGCGCCCGGTAATGGTTCTGTTGTCGGTGAGGATGGCACTAATGCCGACCACGTGCGCGTCCTGCCCACTCACAAAACCACTGTCAAAACAGTCATTCCACTAGGCACACCATGCTGTTGCAAATTAGGGACACCGAGACGATACACATACTTATGTCCGGTCGAAAGTCTTTATCGTAATTTGACTAGATTAAATGTTTGGAGCATGGCTAACTGTGACTATAGAGTTATACCTAAGGCGAATCTGCAATAATTAGCCATATTATAGTGCAATAAAATGTTTTCCTGATGTGTTATGACAAGGTATTTTTGACTATAAAGTGAAAGATTTCAAGTAAAGAGAGGTATATATTAGCGTTCTGCGTTTCCACGACGCGGACTAACTGGCGAATGCACCTAATTCTCACCAAATCGGCACCTATTCACTTTGATAACGAATATCTTCATATAGTGAATTTATATCACGGTTTTAATCGATGACAATGTCTGATGATATGACAAGGCAAGTATATAAGCGATTAGTGGAACCCTAGCTACTTGCTACTAAGAAATACACTGAACCTTATTTGAGCCAAATCCTCACCAAATGTGCACCCAATCTACACCAAATGTGTACTAAATAGCCGACGTGAAAACTGCTATTACTAAGAGCTTAGCAAGATCCGGATAAACGGTCGACTCTCAAGATGATGTGCGATTTTTTATTCCCATGCGCACTTTTTTCTTCATGGGCATTCACCTGCTCACTTCTTTTTCATCTTCTTCGCCATACATCATAGACTGTCCATTGAGCCGAGTGCCTAAAGTTTACATGACCTTAGTCCTTAGCGTCTACGATGTTCAGTCTTCTGCTCATCATGAATAAATTTTCCGACTAATATTTTTTCCGGAAATATACGAAAACAAAACACATTTTATTTTATTTGCAATCGTTCAACGGACTGAAATTGACCGGGCAGCAAAAGATGTCTCTTAACTCAATTATCAACACTACCAACATGTAAAATAAATGACTGCCGATATTGTCATCGATTTTCTGTAAAACAGACTATGAAACATAATATATTGGCTCTAAACAACGCTTCAGGTGAAAACGTGAAATGTCAACGCCTTATGAATCAACATCGAAGCCTATTGTGAACGCTGGAAACGCACCGGCCGAGTTCACTCATCAAACTGTAATAAATCTTCATTCGCCTTGGTTCAGGCCGAAGCCGTAAAACAATGGAGAAGCTTGGTTGATATGCAGAGTGCGTGCTTAATATATTCAGGTCCCCTGCTCTGATATGAGAGAAGGTTCTCATCAGCTGAAAGTGGCATCCGTACCCGGGGAAAACGAGCGACCCGTCAAGACTGTCGAGTCCCTGGGAAAGTCGCTGTCACGGACAGAGGCGGCAAAAACAGCCGGTAGTACCCAATTAGGGCCCATACTGTCATTTGCATAAATCCTGATTTTATGTCTATCCAGGCTCCCGATCGTCTCGTACATTGATATAGTGGGTTGATGAAAACGTGAATGTCTTATTCGGATGCCCAAATGCAGTGGGCATTTCTCGAGTTGATACACTTAGATAATCGTCACCTGGCTGGACCTCTTTTTCACAACGTGTGCGCTTGGGTTAAAGCGGTTGCCAAGCGATTTCCTCCTATAATATGACAATTTGATTTGAAGGGACAATCTCACTCTCGGCTATATTATGATTTGGCTATGTTATGATTATGATTTGGCAAATTATGTGGCTCTACTAAATACTATTCAATATTAGCCGTTTTCACGACGGTCTATCCGGCGAGTGCATCTGATTCGACCAAATCTGCACCTAACCTCTTTTACAGCAAATATCTTTACCTTATGAATTTATTTGTCCTCTTTTACCTCTTTTACAGCAAATATCTTAACCTTTTGAATTTATTTCAGTGTTTTAATCGATGATTTTCTCTGATAGTATGATAAAGCAGGCCTACACCTAAGCAATTTGTGCAACCCTAGCTGATAGCTACTAAGAGACACACTGAACCTAATTTGACCAAATCTGTACCTAATCTGCACCAGATGTGCACCACTAATGTGTACCAGATGGCCGTCGTGAAAACGGCTATTAAAAACCTTCCCCAGGTCCAGCTTGATGCGGGTTGATTTACTTCCGAACGATTGTTCAAACGGTTCGACTTTTCTTGTATGTAACTTCCGAACGGTCGTTCGGTGCGTGGACAAACTGGAAAAGGCCGATGAAAGCCATTGGCAACAGTAGCGGCGGAACACCTTCAATTAACGGGGGGGGGGGGGGGGGGGGCACTGCTGACTTTTTGTCTCATTCTTTCCATGCAACGCCCATAGGGCTAATGTTAAAATGCCAAAATCAAAGGGGGAGCACGGTGCCCCGGTGCCCTCCCCGTTCCGCCGCCTATGATTGGCAAGACAAATATTAAGAATACCTACTACTAATTCACTTACCTATAACAGATCAGAATCATTTCAGGTAGGATTTCAATTTTATAGTATTCATGATTCAAAGTCGGGCCGTGGCCCGACTTGGTAAAATCAGGTAACCGTGGCCTAGATCAGGTAAAAGGACGGAAGTTAACCTTTTAATGTAAAATTTCAAATAACGTAATGATGGGCACTTGAAAACTTTTATCATGCCTATGTACAAAACTAATATTGAAAATTAAACATGAGCTGTTCTCGCAGCCGTCAGATAGATATTGCTACCATTACCCTCCATTACCTGTAAGCCTGCTGCGCCTCCCCTATCAGCGTCACGTCGGACCATTCCCCGCCCGACTGCCGTGTCCACAGCAGCGTGAAACCCGAGACGCCGCCGCTTCAAAACAAGCCGTCCACGTCCACGCTACACCCCGGGGGCCGCGAGTGGACAGCGCTCGTTCCACATGGCCGCGCCGTCCGACCGCTACGGCGACCATTAGTCAAAACGGCGCCGGACCGGAGCGTTACCAGCGCCGAGCGGGGAGGGGCGGCACTGGTGGCACGCGGGCCAATTGAGACGGTCAGTGCCTCAAATTAGCATTGTTCAACTGACGTGGTTTGAATTATGAACATATTTAAAGGTTATGGCTCCGATAAAGGTACAAAGCTACCACAAACTCAATGTCTTCCACGCTGGGCAGTGGGCACTACTCGAACCTACACAGAGTTTCCTTCATGTGCCATATTAAAAAATCATATATGGGTAACATTTAAAATATGCACGTGTTTTTATGAGGATTAGAGGATCAGTGTGTGAACAGAAGCCTCAGGTCTCCTTCAGCGAACTGAGCGAAGTGACGGTGCGATACCCCAGCGACCGACGAGTCACGACACACGTGTTTTGAAAAGCTTTATTGAAACTATGTGGAGCCTTCAATGCGGCACATATGTAGCAGCACTACCCTACACACATGATATCTGCTCATCTCAGTACACAATTATACACAACGTTACCACAGAACTGTTTAACACCCAAATGATCTAAGGGAAGAACATGATAAACCAGAAAACGGGGTCAAATAGAGTGCAGAAAATGCCACCCAACCAAGGAAAGTATATGATCCGCAAATACTTTGCCGAGAAGCAATAAGTTCCACCATTTTCTCGCAGCCTTCTTAACCATTCGATGGATTTTGAACTGAGATATCATGACTTGATTGACAAGAACACACTGTGCCAGTTGTGGCCATCAGATGATTTACGAATCGATGTTCTCGTAATACAACTTCGTAAGAAAAGTAGGAGCTAAAAAGTAAAGTGGTTACTCCGACATTTGACAATAAATCCCGCTCGAACGCACTGTGTACAAAATATACAAGATATTAACAAAAACCGGCACCCGAAGTCCAGCCTTCGAACCATCTTGCCACAAACCCAGCACACACGAGACAGACATACAGCGTAAACGGCATCCATAGCTGAGCCAGCACACACAAAACTCGCTGACCATGGCACATTTCGAAGCCACGCGGCTCATCCAACCTTGCATTGAAACCTGCATTGCGCTGGTGGTCGCCCGGCCGCGTCAGCCGGCGATCGCACCAAATACATACCACCCCTCCTCTCGCACCGGACTGTAAAGCCCGTCCTTTGTTCGCGAGACGCCACCCATGGCTAGCTAAATAAGAACGAACACTGCCGGAATATTGCTACAAAATTGGATGGATTATGCGTCCTGCAATGATTATCTTCCCATGATTCATGCATGAAACAACGATATTAAGCCTAGAGCCCTCGGTAGCTAGTTACAAAACCTGATTCGTAATGAAAATAAGAAAGGAACGTACCCAAATACAACAAGATTGCATGCATGCAAACGTTTCCTAATTGCACAAATCCATTTGACCGCTAAGCTCTGTACACAAATGAAGCTACTCCAGGGAATAGTGAATACGACACATCTTCGAATGAGTTGCCATTGGTCAGCAAAATGTAGGTCACTCAGTTCAAGATGCATTCGCTGGCTCAGTCGGGATGAAACCCACACACAAACCGGCACCTTCACACACACACACAATGTTAAGCCAAAAGAAAGGGCTCCGTTCAGCCAACCTTTCCCGCCAATCCTACGAACTACACGCTCGCTCAGTCAGTGGAGCAGCGGCGATCATCTAGGCCGATACGAAAATCACAGCTCTGCGCCTATCTCCATCAGTTGTGGCAAGATTTAGTCAGTGAGCACCGAGCAATGAGCGCCCCGAATGAATTTATTTACTAGCTAGCGATCACCAAAAGGCGGCATCCTGATCGGTTAGTAATCCAGTCTCAATGTGAGATGAGACCGTAGCACTACCTTACCACCACCAGCTAACGTTCTCACTACTGTGCAGTGCCCTAACGTTCTCTCTACAGTGCAGTGTCTCTGAACTAGACGGTGATTTCTCCATCACACATATTGCCACCACGGAAGTGGTCTATCCCCTTTTAGGTCTGTAAGGACCCGCAGGTGGCTGGTATGTGAATACCCTGTCTCCTTTACACAGCTGGCATAAAGGACCCGCTTTTCTCTATTGCCAGCCCGAATCAGATCATGTCCTGGCCGACTTCTCCAGGTGATAGGAGGAAAGTGTGAGCGCCATCTACGACTGCCTTCCCAGCTGGCTGGTAGGGGGCACTGCGCCAGGTAGCGCTAGCAGCGATCCACTCGGGTCCTCATATTGCCATCAGTGGCTTCTCAAACTACGAGCTACGTGCAGCAGTGCGGGTCAGCTGGCCCTCGGCTCCAGTTCATGTTGTGTTTCGCCTCTCCCTGCGGACATCCCTCCTGTCCACACTGAAGTACGTTCCGGCTCTCCTGCCTCCCCACCCGTCTTCTCCGACCTCCCTCAGGCGGTGGTCTGGGCAGCGCTGGCCTCCTCCAGCTCCCGGATCGCCCGCTCGCGCAGGTCGCGGCGCATCGTCTTGCCGGAGGCGTTCTTGGGAATGGCGTCGATGATGTGCACGCCGCCGCGCAGCTGGTAGTAGGTGTTGACCTTGGCGTTGACGAAGTCGGCCAGCTCCTGCTCGGTGATGGCCGGGTCCGAGGTGACCACGTAGGCGCGCGGCAACTCGCCGGCCTCCTCGTCCGGCACGCCGATCACGGCAGCGTCCGCGACACCCGCGTGCTTCCGCAGCATGTCCTCCAGCATGGCCGGCGCCACCTGCAGAAGAACCGGGGCAGGGTCAGGTCACGTCAGGTCAACTCAGCAACGATAAAGTTTATGATTTAAATCGTTTTTTTTTTTACCGCAAGCTCTATGCAAACCGTACTAACGAGTCAAAAGGAAAGTCATCATTTGACGAATGCAGCAACACCTACGCATCTGAGCCCTAAAGATCACTTCTGGCTGACATTCTGACCTGGAATCCCTTGTACTTGATGAGTTCCTTGACGCGGTCTACGATGAAGAGGAAGCCGTCCTTGTCGCAATAGCCGACGTCGCCAGTGTGCAGCCAGCCATCCTGATCGATGGTAGCCGCCGTCGCCTCGGGGTTCTTGTAGTAGCCGGGCATCACCTAAAGAGGATGCGGGTGATAGTTAAGCATGGTATCGTGCAGGATAAGCAGTTTGAATTGCGTTAGCTAAGAAAGTTACTGACCTTACTCGAAGATCTCGGAACGCAGACTTCTCTACTGCCCCTTTCCCCCGAGGCCTTCGAACCTGCCACGCTCTTTTCATCTGATGCTCGTCAAGACGGGTCAAGAACACAGTAAGGCACTCCTCTAAGCAGAAATAATTCCCTTCATCTTCCCTCGAAGGGCCATCTCTCGCCCATACATAGTTAGAGCACACCATTCCTATTCCCTCCATACCTGAGGTCCGCGGACGCAGATCTCGCCGCTCTCGCCCAGGTCGAGGACCCGGCCGTCGTCCACGGCGATCACCTTTAGCTCGGTGTTGGGCAGCAGCACGCCACACGAGCCGTACCGAGAGCCCTTGGAGATCGAGCTGAAGCTCACCACTGGCGAGGACTCGGTCATCCCGTAACCTGGCAACAACGCGGCAACAGTGAGTGCGAGCAACCTTTGGAACGCTATTACAGCCAATGTCACGAGCTATACCAACAGTTTGCAATATCATTCCGAACGAGTAGGACACTGTGCGCTATTCTCTCACCTTCAATGAAGGTGGCTGTGTCGATTTTCTGCAGCACGCGCTGGATGAGCGCCGGACCGAGCGGCGCCGCGCCGCAGAAGATCACTTTGAGCGAGGAGAGCGTCTCGGCGGTGACGGTCGGGCTGTTGGCCAGGAAGGTGACCAGTGGAGGCACCAGGTGCAGCGCCGTCGGCTGTCGGACAGATGAGGTGGCGGGCCAGATAGGTCAGCGGATTAGAAAAAATCATGTCACCTAAATATACGCAACGGCAAAGGCCATAGGTCTAGGCGAAAGCAGAAACGATCGACACAACTCCATCGTGAAACCATTCTCATACGCGCGAAACTAAAGGGCAGCTTAAAATCGCAATACCTCTTTCATTGGTAAAGCGGCATCAGACATTATTTTCCGTTATCTCACCCTGTACTTGGTCAGGGCGTTGACAAACATCTCTGGCTCGAAGCGGGGCAGCAGTGTGGTCGAAGCGCCGGTTAGTAGCGACTTGAACACGTACAAGAACATGCCGAACGTGTGGAAGGTGGGCAGCACGCCCAGGAACCGCTCCTCGCCTGCGAATGAAAGTGAAAGAGAACGAGTCAGTGCGTGTAAAGCGACGGTAGCATGTATCCAAGCATGACCAGCATTGCTACACTTCACCACTCTAAATTTGGCATCAACATCGTACCCTGAAGGGCCCTGATAGACGAATGGTCACTGCATTGCGATGTATAAAAGTTAAAGCCTAGCAAACCACAACCGACCAGTGACCGCACCTGGCACCTCCCAGGCGAAGTCCTCAGACGTGGCCTGCAGCAGGTTCGATCCCAGACAGTAGTTGGTCTGGATGACGCCCTTCGGCAGGCCCGTGGTGCCGCTGGAGAACAGGAGCAGCACCGGGTCCTTCTCCATGTCGATGTCGACGGTGGGTGTGTGCTCGCGGCCCTGTCGCAGCAGCTCCTCGAAGCTGGAGACGCCCTCCGGAGCGCTGTCCTGGCCGGTGACGATCACCTCGCGCACGGTCGGCACCCTGGCGGCGGCGGCGCGAACCGTGGGGAGGAGCAGAGGGTGCGCCACCACTGCCTGAGCGTCCGAGATCTCCAGCTGGCGCACGATGTCGTCTGTGGGCAGAGACGGACGGAGAGAGAGTCAGTGAACGAGCTCAGAGACGGACCGAGAACAGGGGTCTGTGAGCGAGCTCTGAGTGGACGGGAACGAGAGGTCAGTAAAGGAACTTTGAAACGGTCGGGGGGAGGGGGAGGTCAACATGAACGAGACGGACGGGGATAGCATTGAACGGGACGGGCGCAAGACGTAGACGACGCTGTCGGGAAGACGGACGAAGGAGAAAAGGAACAGTAAATGAGATTCTCAGTTAGCTCAGAACGATACCGTTCACAGGCAGAGACGGACGGAGGATGGGGGTCAGCTAATTACTGCTAAAAGGTCTGGTATCGGGTTAAGTAAACGAGCAATCCGGTTGGCTCGTAATTTCGTCTACAGGGACGTGTGGGAGAGGTCACCACGTATGTAGTTGAAGTGGTCGGATGTGATCGGTATTCGGCCTAAACGGTCATGTCGCTCAATCATGTCTGGGAGTCCGAAACACAGTTTATTTACTGCTTTTTAAATCTGAATATGATCTGCAATAGAAGACAGGTACCTATATTGTTTTGCCATCCCTATTTTTATTTCATACAGTTTAGGCTGTGGATTTGATAAATATAGAAATATAGTACGCGGGTGCTTAAGCGGATTGCTAATCCATTCTTGAAATTAAATTGCATTGCTAATTATACATATAGTTAGAAGCCAACATGCAGGTAGATATTAGTTAGTCAGTAGCCCGGATTACCGTGGATACTAATCTGCCTCCCCTTCATAGTGTCGGTAAGTGGTGACCTCAAGTCCCAATTAGCATGCTTGGAGAAGTTGATTGCGCTAACAATGCGGCATCGCTTGCCTTTCAGCTCCTTTTCTAATGAGCGGGTCACCCGTCACACCACTAATTGCAGGCGTAGTGTCGTCCCGTCAACAAATATTGACACATCGCTCGAGCAGAGCACTAAAAAGTAGGTCAGTTCCTAATGTAATGGCTTGTAGGCTTTATCATGAGAGTGCTGGGTGGGTGAATTAATCAGGTTGTTTGTTTATCAGGGGTATAGGTCGAATAAAACAGCTAGGTATATCAATATATATTTCAGTGCGCAGTTCCTCAGCTAGGGTAATCGGTATCGGGATTGTTGTGATAAGTATACTCAATAAGGCGAGGGCTGCACAGTTAGTTATCTTTATTGCAACGATCATGAGCAAGATCGTTGATGATCATTGATGAGATCATCTGATTAGCACAGCCACCCCTCGAATTTAAGACACGTGTCAAGCTCATAATAGGCATGCAGAAACCACCAGGCTTATGGTCTACCTTTAATGTCCCGCTGCCTGCACGATATTAAAGTCGGGAGACTGGACCATATAGTTCGGTTGTTCACGCCGGAGTAGGCTCTACAAAAGCAGTTCCTAGGAAGGCGAGCAGGTTCAATCGTTCTATGCTCCTGACGCGTCATTCAGTACGTCCAGTCGGTACGTGCAGAGTCACTCATGTCACGGACAAAACAAAGTAATGATTTGCTGGAACGCACGTTAACCCTCGCCCGCACATGGGGGGGGGGGTGGTTGCCACCCCCCCCAGGTAGTCTTTCTGCTCTGCACTCAACATTTTTAGAGCTATAAGGCTGATTTTTCGTATAGCTGCTCCTCTATCCTTTCTTGATGTCCACTGAAAATTTGAAGTTTCTGTGATTTTTTGTTTCGGAGATATGACCTTGTTTTTCAGGTCATGTCATGACCCAAATGGCCAATTCTCAACATCTTGCGTTTGTCATGGGCCTTGTGAGCTTTTGACACCCTGATTTCGGCATTTTTTGCCAGTCTTACCTCCCACCTATCATGGAACATGTTGTTCGACGATGTACAGGGGTCAAGGTCAGGGTCAAGGTCAACCTAGGTCATCTAAGATAATTGCGTTTTAGGCAAGCTGAATTTACTTTTTGTGAAGTTTTTTGACTGCATTTTTGGTAAAAGCTTCTCAGATCATGATTTCATGTAATATGGACCCAAAAACAATCGGTGCACACATCAGTATACACACAGACACACACAGACACACAAACACATATAATTGACCTTGACCTAACTTGACCTGAAATGACCTCAGCAGCAAAATTCTGGTCGGGTAGTGTGACAAAGAGGCTCTAGCTGGCTTGGCCCCAGAAAACAGCATCGTCATCGGTATTTGATAAGCAGCGCACTTGATATCCAACGGTGACCCAAAACAGCAACATTTTTTAGTTTGACCTGACCTGGAATGTCAATGACTGACCGGAGAAGGTAAAACTGGGTATCATTGGATTCGTCTCTTCCCAAAGAATCTTTTTGGTCTTTACCGCTAAGCTCTATCTCCAACAGGAACGAAATGGCGCGGGGGGGTGGCAACCCCCCCCCCCCCCATGTGCGTTCTAGGATGGGAAAATGGCATGTGCGGGCGAGGGTTAAAGCCATAAACCGTATACGGTGTGTCCAATGATTTATTCGGTTATTGAAAACAAATTGAATAATAAAATGACTCGAAATATTCAAACAAACAACACTTGAAATGAGTGCTATAATAAATGTAAAAAGACATGGCCTATGTACCGTAAAAAGTTGCGACGTACCGTTTATCATGCTGCTCGCTGCACGACGCACGTCCTATCTTATCAATAGCTCATTGTCATGTCGTGCGGTGCCTGACGTCACAAAGTTCAGTTCCCCGTGTGACGTCATGTATCTTCACCCTCCCTCCTTTTCAGCGCAGATTTGGCGCGGGTTCGGTCCGCCAAAACTGACCGCGTGTGGCACCACGCTCAATCAAAGTCCTCGCGATGAGTTGACCGCAGCAGCCGATAGCAGCGGCGCCACAACCATCGAGTGCAGGCGCTCCGGATGGCAGATAAAGGTCGATCAACTCAGCGGGGGATCTTCGAGAGTGCAGTCATTGATGGAGCACTGAGGAAACGAGGCTTGCTTGTGCGGAAATTTCCTATCTTTTTGTACTTTTCTGGTCCCTATCGCCGTTCCCCCGAGCGCCATACGAGAGAGGTGCTTACCCGACAAAAAGAGAACGGGCTTATATTCAACCAATAATCGTGGAAAATAAATTTAAAAGTTTTGATGCGTTAAATAGCTTCAAACGCTTTACTCCAACTGTAAAGCTTGTAAAGCAGGAGCTTGGGAAGGGGCGTTCATTCAAACGAATGATTCGGTGTGTATCTCATATGGCAAGCAAATGTGAGCCAGTGGTGAGGGCGCGTTATAAGTGGACCAGATGCAAAGAGCACGTCCCCGTGATTGTGTATCACCCATTGGCAAACGATGCACCGAGCGAAGTATAGCCGTCTACGCAACAAAAGCACCCTTTCAAGCAGACGTGGACTGATAGTGGCGATATCAGCGTGGCACTGTTCATGACTACTTGTAACGATAGAGTGGACACACCTCCGGGCTACTAAGTACTAAACGTCAAACGATAGCTTAGAAAGACAAATGATAACTTCGAAACCTCTTCTTAAACATTTTAACCCGCGCCCTGCTGGGGGTCCTGGATTTCCACGCCCTGCTGGGGGGGGGGTGTTTGAACACCCCCCCCCCTTCTAACTCGGCTCCTGGGCCACGTAGCGATACGCGGAAGGCGGCGTTCGAAAGAGCGTAAAAAATAATGACGAAATCACTTCGGTCAATTTTTTGGTCAGGTCAAAGGTCAGGTCACCAGAGGTCATTAAAGGCAAAATTTCGCCGATTTCCAGGTCGAATGTCGAAAATTTCCAAGAAGCCAACGCATAACTCGGGAACCAAAAGAGCTACAGCGCCGCGGAAAAGTGCATTCGATAGCCCTACTAACGCCCTTTCTGAATAATTATCTCAGATTTGACCTAACGTCAGCGGTTTTGCCTGCAGGGGGCAAAAACTGCAAAAATAGCCGATTTTTTTCGGAAAGTTTTTCTGCAATAACTTTTGACCCAAGCCTTGTACGAGCTTACTTTCACCGGCATCGTGTTCCTCTCGTCAAGACGCATCGAATGAAGCATAACTTGACCTTGAAAGGTCAACTTGAAAATTTGACCTCAGGTCAAGGTCATGACCTGACCGGAAAGGGTCATGTTGCATATCATTCGATCCGTATCGTCGAGCTGAACACATATAAGGCATTTTCATCGCTCTAGCATGCCTCTATCAAAAGTTATTTGCGAAGAACTGTTAGATATTATTCGTGACCTAAGATGACCTCAGGGCATAAACAAGGGTCACGGACACCATTTTCATGTTCAGTGTGTCTAAACCACTTGTAATTCGGTGTTTGGGAGTGTTTATAATGTCTTTCGTCCAAAACAGACGCATTTCATTTTTCTCCCATTGACTTAGGTATAATGGGGAGGTCGCATAATTGACCTGACCTTAGGTCATCGATATCAAAATTCTGAGATAAACATTTTGTACATGCTATTGCTCTTAGCAATCGCTGAAAGTTTCAAAGCGATCGGTCACTCGGTGTAGCTATGACAGACATTGAAACTTTTTATGAGGTGAGGTCACTTCAAGTGACCTGGTGACCTGACCTTGAATGACCTTGGTCTGAAATTTTCACAACATGTGTAGAATTGATGTATGATAAGGTGTACTAAAAACGGCGGCGCTCCGCGCCGCCGTTTTTGAGATATTCGCGAAAAACCACAAGGGGGGGTGTTCAAACACCCCCCCCCCAGCAGGGCGCGGGTTAACCCTCGCCCGCACATGCCATTTTCCCATCCTAGAACGCACATGGGGGGGGGGGGGTGGTTGCCACCCCCCCCCCCCCCGCGCCATTTCGTTCCTGTTGGAGATAGAGCTTAGCAGTAAAGACCAAAAAGATTCTTTGGGAAGAGACGAATCCAATGATACCCAGTTTTACCTTCTCAGGTCAGTCATTGACCTTCCAGGTCAGGTCAAACTAAAAAATGTTGCTGTTTTGGGTCACCGTTGGATATCAAGTGTGCTGCTTATCAAATACCGATGACGATGCTGTTTTCTGGTGCCAAGCCAGCTA